CCGTTCAACCCCACCTCATCACCAGTCAACATGACGTCACCACTACACAACACATCACCTCACTTCCAGTAAACTTCACCTCATCACCATTCAATCCCACTTCATCACCAGTCAACAGGACATCACCACTTCCAAACATTACTTCACCACTAGTCAACATGACATCACCAGTCAACCCCACCTCATCACCAGTCAACATGACATCGCCACCAGTCAACTTTACTTCACCACCAGTCAACATGACATCACCAGTCAACCCCACCTCATCACCAGTCAACATGACATCGCCACAAGTCAACTTTACTTCACCACCAGTCAACATCACATCACCAGTCAACCCCACCACATCACCAGTCAACATGACATCACCAGTCAGCCCCACTTCATCACCAGTCAACATGACATCGGCACCAGTCAACATGACTTCATCACCACCAGTTGACATTACTTCAGCACCAGGTAACATGACATCACCAGTCAACCCCACCACATCACCAGTCAACATGACATCACCAGTCAACCCCACCTCATCACCAGTCAACATGACATCGCCACCAGTCAACTTTACTTCACCACCAGTCAACATGACATCACCAGTCAACCCCACCTCATCACCTGTCAACATGACATCACCACTTCCCAACATGACATCACCACCAGTCAACATGACATCACCAGCCAACCCCACCTCATTACCAGTCAACATGACATCGCCACCACCAAACATTACTTCACTACCAGTCAACATGACATCACCAGTCAACCCCACCACATCACCAGTCAACATGACATCACCAGTCAGCCCCACTTCATCACCAGTTAACTTGACTTCACCATCAGTCAACTTGACATCACCACAAGTCAACATTACTTCAACCACAGCCAATCCCACCTCATCACAAATCAACATGACATCACCACTCAAAACAACCTTTTCACCAGTCAACATTACCTCACCACCAGTCAACATGACATCAACATTCAACCCCACCCCACCACCAGTCAACTTTACTTCACCACCAGTAAACATGACTTCATCACCAGTCAGCCCCACTTCATCACCAGTCAACATGACATCAGCACCTGTCAACATGACTTCATCATCACCAGTTGACATTACTTCAGCACCAGGTAATATGACCTCGCCAGTAAACCCCACCTCAATACAAGTCAACATGACATCACCACTTCCCAACATTACTTCACCACCAGTCAATATGACATCACCAGTCAATCCCACCTCATCACAAATCAACATGACAGCACCAGACAACATTATTTCCCCATCAGGCAACTTTACTTTACCACCATTCAACATGACATCACCAGTCAACCCCACCTCATCACCAGTCAACATGACATCACCACCAGTCAACATTACTTCCCCAACAGTCAACATTAATATTTCTTCAACAACAGTTAACATCACTACACATCCTGGCCACCCCACCTTATCACCAGTCAACATTACTTCACTTGTCAGTCACAATAATGGCTTTAGTAGGTAATTCATGCTCTTCAACAAATAAAATATAACTTAAAATCCAATAAAATAACTTTAAATAATTTTACCACTAGTCAATGATGATGATCATGATTCTATTTATGTAGCTCGAATTACAGATACACCAAAAATATACCAACAATTTATGTTTTTTCGTTGGACCTCTATCACTGACTTCAATTTCCAAATGTGTTAATACTTGTCTTGCTGTAATGATATATTAAATTCCAATTAATATTTTATAAATGTTAAGGTAATGCAAGCACTCCACCTGTCACTGGAACATCATCACCACCAAGCATCACAACTACAAGCTCTCCAACTGCAACTACAACCCCAACACCTACCACAACAGAGTCAAAAATCAAGTTGGAATTTAAGATTCAGCAAACCTTTACTCCTCAACTTGCAAACAAATCTTCACCAGCGTTCCTTGAATTAAAGAACGAAGTGACTACAGTGGTAAGTTCATATTAATTATTTCTACAGATTTTGCGTCTTCCACTATCCTTTGCTGCTCATGAACATTTATTAAAAAGCACAAATCTCAAATGATAATTGTCTTCTTTCATATTTATTCTGAAATGATTTAATGTTTTTCAACTAAATTCATTCACAGCTCGACATGGTCTATTCAGAACAATATGGATCCAGCTTCAATCGTACTGTCATCAACAGCTTCAGGTATAAAACAATTGCTTGCCATTACATTTTATAAATGCCTGTTGTACTTGTTTGCTAACATATACAATAGGACAATAGGGCATAAAATATGACTTAAACAAATATTTGTGTTACAGTCAAGGATCTGTGGTGGTAGATGTTGAACTGATATTCAATGAAGGGAATACATTACCAAATGCCACTTCTGTGGCTGGAACTTTGGTGACTGCCTCTTCCAGTTCCAATTTTTCTCTCAGTGTCAACACATCTTCTATTTCTGCAACAGGTAAGACTTGCTGTATCTTCCAACTGTCAAGTTTGATTATTGGGAGGACATACTGACTATCTTATGATAATAATATGTTTATCAAAATCACACTTATTTGAACATTTGTATTTGTAGTTGTTTTAGCTGCAACTCCAGCCCCAACCACAGTTGCCCCTTCAACACCACTTGTCAACATCACCTCACCTCCAGTCAACATGACTTCATCACCAGTCAACCCAACATCATCACCAGTCAACCCAACATCATCACCAGTCAACATGACATCATCACCAGTCAACATGACCTCATCATCAGGTAACATCACCTCACCACCAGTCAACATGACATCAACACCAGTCACCATTACTTCACCCTTAGTCAACCCAACTTCACCATCAGTCAACATTACATCACCACCAGTCAACATGACATCAACACCAGCCAACATTACCTCACCATCACTCCACCCAACTTCACCATTAGTCAACATGACATCAACACCAGCCAACATGACATCACCGCCAGTCAACATTACATCACCACCAGTCAACATGACATCAACACCAGTCAACATTACGTCACCAGTCAACCCAACATCACCATCAGTCAACATGACATCACCATCAGTCAACATGACATCACCGCCAGTCAACATTACATCACCACCAGTCCACCCAACTTCACCATCAGTCAACATGACATCACCACCAGTCAACATTACATCACCCTTCAACCCAACCACATCACCATTCAACATTACTTCACCACCAGTCCACCCAACTTCACCTTCAGTCAACATGACATCACCACCAGTTAACATGACATCATCACCAGCCAACATTACTTCACCATCAGTCAATATTACATCACCAGTCAACCCAACCTCACCATCAGTCAACATTACTTCACCACCAGTCAACATTACATCACCAGTCAACCCAACATCACCACCAGTCAACATTACTTCACCCTCAGTCAACCCAACTTCACCATCAGTCAACATGACATCACCATCAGTCAACATGACATCACCGCCAGTCAACATTACATCACCCTTCAACCCAACCACATCACCATTCAACATTACTTCACCACCAGTCCACCCAACTTCACCTTCAGTCAACATGACATCACCACCAGTTAACATGACATCATCACCAGCCAACATTACTTCACCACCAGTAAACTTTACTTCACCACCAGAAAATATGACATCACCGTTCAACCCCACCTCATCACCAGTCAACATGACGTCACCACTACACAACATCACCTCACTTCCAGTAAACTTCACCTCATCACCATTCAATCCCACTTCATCACCAGTCAACAGGACATCACCACTTCCAAACATTACTTCACCACTAGTCAACATGACATCACCAGTCAACCCCACCTCATCACCAGTCAACATGACATCGCCACCAGTCAACTTTACTTCACCACCAGTCAACATGACATCACAAGTCAACCCCACCTCATCACCAGTCAACATGACATCGCCACAAGTCAACTTTACTTCACCACCAGTCAACATCACATCACCAGTCAACCCCACCACATCACCAGTCAACATGACATCACCAGTCAGCCCCACTTCATCACCAGTCAACATGACATCGGCACCAGTCAACATGACTTCATCACCACCAGTTGACATTACTTCAGCACCAGGTAACATGACATCACCAGTCAACCCCACCACATCACCAGTCAACATGACATCACCAATCAACCCCACCTCATCACCAGTCAACATGACATCGCCACCAGTCAACTTTACTTCACCACCAGTCAACATGACATCACCAGTCAACCCCACCTCATCACCTGTCAACATGACATCACCACTTCCCAACATGACATCACCACCAGTCAACATGACATCACCAGCCAACCCCACCTCATTACCAGTCAATATGACATCGCCACCACCAAACATTACTTCACTACCAGTCAACATGACATCACCAGTCAACCCCACCACATCACCAGTCAACATGACATCACCAGTCAGCCCCACTTCATCACCAGTTAACTTGACTTCACCATCAGTCAACTTGACATCACCACAAGTCAACATTACTTCAACCACAGCCAATCCCACCTCATCACAAATCAACATGACATCACCACTCAAAACAACCTTTTCACCAGTCAACATTACCTCACCACCAGTCAACATGACATCAACATTCAACCCCACCCCACCACCAGTCAACTTTACTTCACCACCAGTAAACATGACTTCATCACCAGTCAGCCCCACTTCATCACCAGTCAACATGACATCAGCACCTGTCAACATGACTTCATCATCACCAGTTGACATTACTTCAGCACCAGGTAATATGACCTCGCCAGTAAACCCCACCTCAATACAAGTCAACATGACATCACCACTTCCCAACATTACTTCACCACCAGTCAATATGACATCACCAGTCAATCCCACCTCATCACAAATCAACATGACAGCACCAGACAACATTATTTCCCCATCAGGCAACTTTACTTTACCACCATTCAACATGACATCACCAGTCAACCCCACCTCATCACCAGTCAACATGACATCACCACCAGTCAACATTACTTCCCCAACAGTCAACATTAATATTTCTTCAACAACAGTTAACATCACTACACATCCTGGCCACCCCACCTTATCACCAGTCAACATTACTTCACTTGTCAGTCACAATAATGGCTTTAGTAGGTAATTCATGCTCTTCAACAAATAAAATATAACTTAAAATCCAATAAAATAACTTTAAATAATTTTACCACTAGTCAATGATGATGATCATGATTCTATTTATGTAGCTCGAATTACAGATACACCAAAAATATACCAACAATTTATGTTTTTTCGTTGGACCTCTATCACTGACTTCAATTTCCAAATGTGTTAATACTTGTCTTGCTGTAATGATATATTAAATTCCAATTAATATTTTATAAATGTTAAGGTAATGCAAGCACTCCACCTGTCACTGGAACATCATCACCACCAAGCATCACAACTACAAGCTCTCCAACTGCAACTACAACCCCAACACCTACCACAACAGAGTCAAAAATCAAGTTGGAATTTAAGATTCAGCAAACCTTTACTCCTCAACTTGCAAACAAATCTTCACCAGCGTTCCTTGAATTAAAGAACGAAGTGACTACAGTGGTAAGTTCATATTAATTATTTCTACAGATTTTGCGTCTTCCACTATCCTTTGCTGCTCATGAACATTTATTAAAAAGCACAAATCTCAAATGATAATTGTCTTCTTTCATATTTATTCTGAAATGATTTAATGTTTTTCAACTAAATTCATTCACAGCTCGACATGGTCTATTCAGAACAATATGGATCCAGCTTCAATCGTACTGTCATCAACAGCTTCAGGTATAAAACAATTGCTTGCCATTACATTTTATAAATGCCTGTTGTACTTGTTTGCTAACATATACAATAGGACAATAGGGCATAAAATATGACTTAAACAAATATTTGTGTTACAGTCAAGGATCTGTGGTGGTAGATGTTGAACTGATATTCAATGAAGGGAATACATTACCAAATGCCACTTCTGTGGCTGGAACTTTGGTGACTGCCTCTTCCAGTTCCAATTTTTCTCTCAGTGTCAACACATCTTCTATTTCTGCAACAGGTAAGACTTGCTGTATCTTCCAACTGTCAAGTTTGATTATTGGGAGGACATACTGACTATCTTATGATAATAATATGTTTATCAAAATCACACTTATTTGAACATTTGTATTTGTAGTTGTTTTAGCTGCAACTCCAGCCCCAACCACAGTTGCCCCTTCAACACCACTTGTCAACATCACCTCACCTCCAGTCAACATGACTTCATCACCAGTCAACCCAACATCATCACCAGTCAACCCAACATCATCACCAGTCAACATGACATCATCACCAGTCAACATGACCTCATCATCAGGTAACATCACCTCACCACCAGTCAACATGACATCAACACCAGTCACCATTACTTCACCCTTAGTCAACCCAACTTCACCATCAGTCAACATTACATCACCACCAGTCAACATGACATCAACACCAGCCAACATTACCTCACCATCACTCCACCCAACTTCACCATTAGTCAACATGACATCAACACCAGCCAACATGACATCACCGCCAGTCAACATTACATCACCACCAGTCAACATGACATCAACACCAGTCAACATTACGTCACCAGTCAACCCAACATCACCATCAGTCAACATGACATCACCATCAGTCAACATGACATCACCGCCAGTCAACATTACATCACCACCAGTCCACCCAACTTCACCATCAGTCAACATGACATCACCACCAGTCAACATTACATCACCCTTCAACCCAACCACATCACCATTCAACATTACTTCACCACCAGTCCACCCAACTTCACCTTCAGTCAACATGACATCACCACCAGTTAACATGACATCATCACCAGCCAACATTACTTCACCATCAGTCAATATTACATCACCAGTCAACCCAACCTCACCATCAGTCAACATTACTTCACCACCAGTCAACATTACATCACCAGTCAACCCAACATCACCACCAGTCAACATTACTTCACCCTCAGTCAACCCAACTTCACCATCAGTCAACATGACATCACCATCAGTCAACATGACATCACCGCCAGTCAACATTACATCACCCTTCAACCCAACCACATCACCATTCAACATTACTTCACCACCAGTCCACCCAACTTCACCTTCAGTCAACATGACATCACCACCAGTTAACATGACATCATCACCAGCCAACATTACTTCACCACCAGTAAACTTTACTTCACCACCAGAAAATATGACATCACCGTTCAACCCCACCTCATCACCAGTCAACATGACGTCACCACTACACAACATCACCTCACTTCCAGTAAACTTCACCTCATCACCATTCAATCCCACTTCATCACCAGTCAACAGGACATCACCACTTCCAAACATTACTTCACCACTAGTCAACATGACATCACCAGTCAACCCCACCTCATCACCAGTCAACATGACATCGCCACCAGTCAACTTTACTTCACCACCAGTCAACATGACATCACCAGTCAACCCCACCTCATCACCAGTCAACATGACATCACCACAAGTCAACATTACTTCACCACCAGTCAACATCACATCACCAGTCAACCCCACCACATCACCAGTCAACATGACATCACCAGTCAGCCCCACTTCATCACCAGTCAACATGACATCGGCACCAGTCAACATGACTTCATCACCACCAGTTGACATTACTTCAGCACCAGGTAACATGACATCACCAGTCAACCCCACCACATCACCAGTCAACATGACATCACCAATCAACCCCACCTCATCACCAGTCAACATGACATCGCCACCAGTCAACTTTACTTCACCACCAGTCAACATGACATCACCAGTCAACCCCACCTCATCACCTGTCAACATGACATCACCACTTCCCAACATGACATCACCACCAGTCAACATGACATCACCAGCCAACCCCACCTCATTACCAGTCAATATGACATCGCCACCACCAAACATTACTTCACTACCAGTCAACATGACATCACCAGTCAACCCCACCACATCACCAGTCAACATGACATCACCAGTCAGCCCCACTTCATCACCAGTTAACTTGACTTCACCATCAGTCAACTTGACATCACCACAAGTCAACATTACTTCAACCACAGCCAATCCCACCTCATCACAAATCAACATGACATCACCACTCAAAACAACCTTTTCACCAGTCAACATTACCTCACCACCAGTCAACATGACATCAACATTCAACCCCACCCCACCACCAGTCAACTTTACTTCACCACCAGTAAACATGACTTCATCACCAGTCAGCCCCACTTCATCACCAGTCAACATGACATCAGCACCTGTCAACATGACTTCATCATCACCAGTTGACATTACTTCAGCACCAGGTAATATGACCTCGCCAGTAAACCCCACCTCAATACAAGTCAACATGACATCACCACTTCCCAACATTACTTCACCACCAGTCAATATGACATCACCAGTCAATCCCACCTCATCACAAATCAACATGACAGCACCAGACAACATTATTTCCCCATCAGGCAACTTTACTTTACCACCATTCAACATGACATCACCAGTCAACCCCACCTCATCACCAGTCAACATGACATCACCACCAGTCAACATTACTTCCCCAACAGTCAACATTAATATTTCTTCAACAACAGTTAACATCACTACACATCCTGGCCACCCCACCTTATCACCAGTCAACATTACTTCACTTGTCAGTCACAATAATGGCTTTAGTAGGTAATTCATGCTCTTCAACAAATAAAATATAACTTAAAATCCAATAAAATAACTTTAAATAATTTTACCACTAGTCAATGATGATGATCATGATTCTATTTATGTAGCTCGAATTACAGATACACCAAAAATATACCAACAATTTATGTTTTTTCGTTGGACCTCTATCACTGACTTCAATTTCCAAATGTGTTAATACTTGTCTTGCTGTAATGATATATTAAATTCCAATTAATATTTTATAAATGTTAAGGTAATGCAAGCACTCCACCTGTCACTGGAACATCATCACCACCAAGCATCACAACTACAAGCTCTCCAACTGCAACTACAACCCCAACACCTACCACAACAGAGTCAAAATCAAGTTGGAATTTAAGATTCAGCAAACCTTTACTCCTCAACTTGCAAACAAATCTTCACCAGCGTTCCTTGAATTAAAGAACGAAGTGACTACAGTGGTAAGTTCATATTAATTATTTCTACAGATTTTGCGTCTTCCACTATCCTTTGCTGCTCATGAACATTTATTAAAAAGCACAAATCTCAAATGATAATTGTCTTCTTTCATATTTATTCTGAAATGATTTAATGTTTTTCAACTAAATTCATTCACAGCTCGACATGGTCTATTCAGAACAATATGGATCCAGCTTCAATCGTACTGTCATCAACAGCTTCAGGTATAAAACAATTGCTTGCCATTACATTTTATAAATGCCTGTTGTACTTGTTTGCTAACATATACAATAGGACAATAGGGCATAAAATATGACTTAAACAAATGTTTGTGTTACAGTCAAGGATCTGTGGTGGTAGATGTTGAACTGATATTCAATGAAGGGAATACATTACCAAATGCCACTTCTGTGGCTGGAACTTTGGTGACTGCCTCTTCCAGTTCCAATTTTTCTCTCAGTGTCAACACATCTTCTATTTCTGCAACAGGTAAGACTTGCTGTATCTTCCAACTGTCAAGTTTGATTATTGGGAGGACATACTGACTATCTTATGATAATAATATGTTTATCAAAATCACACTTATTTGAACATTTGTATTTGTAGTTGTTTTAGCTGCAACTCCAGCCCCAACCACAGTTGCCCCTTCAACACCACTTGTCAACATCACCTCACCTCCAGTCAACATGACTTCATCACCAGTCAACCCAACATCATCACCAGTCAACCCAACATCATCACCAGTCAACATGACATCATCACCAGTCAACATGACCTCATCATCAGGTAACATCACCTCACCACCAGTCAACATGACATCAACACCAGTCACCATTACTTCACCCTTAGTCAACCCAACTTCACCATCAGTCAACATTACATCACCACCAGTCAACATGACATCAACACCAGCCAACATTACTTCACCATCACTCCACCCAACTTCACCATTAGTCAACATGACATCAACACCAGCCAACATGACATCACCGCCAGTCAACATTACATCACCACCAGTCAACATGACATCAACACCAGTCAACATTACGTCACCAGTCAACCCAACATCACCATCAGTCAACATGACATCACCATCAGTCAACATGACATCACCGCCAGTCAACATTACATCACCACCAGTCCACCCAACTTCACCATCAGTCAACATGACATCACCACCAGTCAACATTACATCACCCTTCAACCCAACCACATCACCATTCAACATTACTTCACCACCAGTCCACCCAACTTCACCTTCAGTCAACATGACATCACCACCAGTTAACATGACATCATCACCAGCCAACATTACTTCACCATCAGTCAATATTACATCACCAGTCAACCCAACCTCACCATCAGTCAACATTACTTCACCACCAGTCAACATTACATCACCAGTCAACCCAACATCACCACCAGTCAACATTACTTCACCCTCAGTCAACCCAACTTCACCATCAGTCAACATGACATCACCATCAGTCAACATGACATCACCGCCAGTCAACATTACATCACCCTTCAACCCAACCACATCACCATTCAACATTACTTCACCACCAGTCCACCCAACTTCACCTTCAGTCAACATGACATCACCACCAGTTAACATGACATTATCACCAGCCAACATTACTTCACCACCAGTAAACTTTACTTCACCACCAGAAAATATGACATCACCGTTCAACCCCACCTCATCACCAGTCAACATGACGTCACCACTACACAACATCACCTCACTTCCAGTAAACTTCACCTCATCACCATTCAATCCCACTTCATCACCAGTCAACAGGACATCACCACTTCCAAACATTACTTCACCACTAGTCAACATGACATCACCAGTCAACCCCACCTCATCACCAGTCAACATGACATCGCCACCAGTCAACTTTACTTCACCACCAGTCAACATGACATCACAAGTCAACCCCACCTCATCACCAGTCAACATGACATCGCCACAAGTCAACTTTACTTCACCACCAGTCAACATCACATCACCAGTCAACCCCACCACATCACCAGTCAACATGACATCACCAGTCAGCCCCACTTCATCACCAGTCAACATGACATCGGCACCAGTCAACATGACTTCATCACCACCAGTTGACATTACTTCAGCACCAGGTAACATGACATCACCAGTCAACCCCACCACATCACCAGTCAACATGACATCACCAGTCAACCCCACCTCATTACCAGTCAACATGACGTCACCACTACACAACATCACCTCACTTCCAGTAAAGTTCACCTCATCACTATTCAATCCCACTTCAACACCAGTCAACAGGACATCACCACTTCCAAACATTACTTCACCACTAGTCAACATGACATCACCAGTCAACCCCACCTCATCACCAGTCAACATGACATCGCCACCAGTCAACTTTACTTCACCACCAGTCAACATGACATCACCAGTCAACCCCACCTCATCACCTGTCAACATGACATCACCACTTCCCAACATGACATCACCACCAGTCAACATGACATCACCAGCCAACCCCACCTCATTACCAGTCAATATGACATCGCCACCACCAAACATTACTTCACTACCAGTCAACATGACATCACCAGTCAACCCCACCACATCACCAGTCAACATGACATCACCAGTCAGCCCCACTTCATCACCAGTTAACTTGACTTCACCATCAGTCAACTTGACATCACCACAAGTCAACATTACTTCAACCACAGCCAATCCCACCTCATCACAAATCAACATGACATCACCACTCAAAACAACCTTTTCACCAGTCAACATTACCTCACCACCAGTCAACATGACATCAACATTCAACCCCACCCCACCACCAGTCAACTTTACTTCACCACCAGTAAACATGACTTCATCACCAGTCAGCCCCACTTCATCACCAGTCAACATGACATCAGCACCTGTCAACATGACTTCATCATCACCAGTTGACATTACTTCAGCACCAGGTAATATGACCTCGCCAGTAAACCCCACCTCAATACAAGTCAACATGACATCACCACTTCCCAACATTACTTCACCACCAGTCAATATGACATCACCAGTCAATCCCACCTCATCACAAATCAACATGACAGCACCAGACAACATTATTTCCCCATCAGGCAACTTTACTTTACCACCATTCAACATGACATCACCAGTCAACCCCACCTCATCACCATTCAACATGACATCACCACCAGTCAACATTACTTCCCCAACAGTCAACATTAATATTTCTTCAACTACAGTTAACATCACTACACATCCTGGCCACCCCACCTTATCACCAGTCAACATTACTTCACTTGTCAGTCACAATAATGGCTTTAATAGGTAATTCATGCTCTTCAACAAATAAAATATAACTTAAAATCCAATAAAATAACTTTAAATAATTTTACCACTAGTCAATGATGATGATCATGATTCTATTTATGTAGCTCGAATTACAGATACACCAAAAATATACCAAAAATTTATGTTTTTTCGTTGGACCTCTATCACTGACTTCAATTTCCAAATGTGTTAATACTTGTCTTGCTGTAATGATATATTCACTTCCAATTAATATTTTATAAATGTTAAGGTAATGCAAGCACTCCACCTGTCACTGGAACATCATCACCACCAAGCATCACAACTACAAGCTCTCCAACTGCAACTACAACCCCAACACCTACCACAACAGAGTCAAAAATCAAGTTGGAATTTAAGATTCAGCAAACCTTTACTCCTCAACTTGCAAACAAATCTTCACCAGCGTTCCTTGAATTAAAGAACAAAGTGACTACAGTGGTAAGTTCATATTAATTATTTCTACAGATTTTGCATCTTCCACTATCCTTTGCTGCTCATGAACATTTATTAAAAAGCACAAATCTCAAATGATAATTGTCTTCTTTCATATTTATTCTGAAATGATTTAATGTTTTTCAACTAAATTCATTCACAGCTCGACATGGTCTATTCAGAACAATATGGATCCAGCTTCAATCGTACTCTCATCAACAGCTTCAGGTATAAAACAATTGCTTGCCATTACATTTTATAAATGCCTGTTGTACTTGTTTGCTAACATATACAATAGGACAATAGGGCATAAAATATGACTTAAACAAATATTTGTGTTACAGTCAAGGATCTGTGGTGGTAGATGTTGAACTGATATTCAATGAAGGGAATACATTACCAAATGCCACTTCTGTGGCTGGAACTTTGGTGACTGCCTCTTCCAGCTCCAATTTTTCTCTCAGTGTCAACACATCTTCTATTTCTGCAACAGGTAAGACTTGCTGTATCTTCCAACTGTCAAGTTTGATTATTGGGAGGACATACTGACTATCTTATGATAATAATATGTTTATCAAAATCACACTTATTTGAACATTTGTATTTGTAGTTGTTTTAGCTGCAACTCCAGCCCCAACCACAGTTGCCCCTTCAACACCACTTGTCAACATCACCTCACCTCCAGTCAACATGACTTCATCACCAGTCAACCCAACATCATCACCAGTCAACCCAACATCATCACCAGTCAACATGACATCATCACCAGTCAACATGACCTCATCATCAGGTAACATCACCTCACCACCAGTCAACATGACATCACCCTTCAACCCAACCACATCACCATTCAACATTACCTCACCACCAGTCCACCCAACTTCACCTTCAGTCAACATGACATCACCACCAGTTAACATGACATCATCGCCAGTCAACATTACTTCACCATCAGTCAATATTACATCACCAGTCAACCCAACCTCACCATCAGTCAACATTACTTCACCACCAGTCAACATTACATCACCAGTCAACCCAACATCACCACCAGTCAACATTACTTCACCCTCAGTCAACCCAACTTCACCATCAGTCAACATGACATCACCATCAGTCAACATGACATCACCGCCAGTCAACATTACATCACCCTTCAACCCAACCACATCACCATTCAACATTACTTCACCACCAGTCCACCCAACTTCACCTTCAGTCAACATGACATCACCACCAGTTAACATGACATCATCACCAGCCAACATTACTTCACCATCAGTCAATATTACATCACCAGTCAACCCAACCTCACCATCAGTCAACATTACTTCACCACCAGTTACAACAATGCCCTTGCCTGGTAATACATGTTCTCCCCCAATGGATATACTATATTTTTTATTAACTTAATGATTACAAAACCACTAGTCCATAAGTAATTACATGTTTCCATTTTATTAAAATGTACATATACACCAAACATGTAGCATGAATCTTTTTCATTATTGGACCTCTATCACTGACTGCAATTTCTATATAGTAAAGCAGCCTTTTTTTGTTTAATGTTATATTTAATTCCAATGAATGTCTCCTTATTTCAAGGTAATGCAAGCACTCCGCCCGTCACTGGAACATCAACACCACCAAGCATCACAACTACAAGCTCTCCAACTACAACTACAACCCCAACACCTACCACAACAGAGACAACATTTAAGTTGGGATTTAAGATGCAAGAAACATTTACTCCTCAACTTGCAAACAAATCTTCACCAGCGTTCCTTGAATTAAAGAACACAGTGACCACAGCGGTAAGTTCATATTAATTATTTCAATTTTGTTGTGCATCTTCCACTATCAAATCCTATTATATAAAAGTTGAAGTTGTAAGAACCTTAATGATGCTGAATAAAGAAGAATGTTGTAGACAGGATGTTTAAATAACATAAACTTGCTATTTTGCATTGGGTATGAGTTGTCAAGACACTTTTGACGGCAATAGTGTTAACAAGGTACAAATTAATACAGTGAAAAATACAGCTCTGGAATTTTTTTGGAGACCACTGCATCATTATCAGTTTCTCTGGTTTCAATATGTATAGGTATGTGTTTGAGTCAAATGTATGTTTTTTTATGTTATTCTATGAACTACTGACAACCTTTCTGTGTCTTGGAATTCAGCAGACACTGGAATAGAATGGCTGCCATGTAGAGATTTAGATTAAAGAAAAAAGTGGACTCTTATTATTTCCCAGAGCTGTAGCTGTCATTCAAACATTTGCAAATGTAATTCAATATAGGGCAGACTTTTGTCATGCATGTCATCAAATGTTCAACACTTAAGTTTGAGATGGAGCTAAGATAGAGGCATGCTATGATATTATTGATCTTTCACATGACCTGCAAGAGAAAATGTTGCTGCTCATGAACATTCATTAAAAAAAAAAAATCTCAAATGAAAACTTTCTTGCTTCCTAATATGATATTTTAATGTTTTCAATAAAACTAATTCACAGCTGGACATGGTCTATTCAGAACAATATGAATCCAGCTTCAATCGAATTGTCATCAACAGCTTCAGGTATAAAACAATTGCTTGCCCTACATTTTAAACAGTGTGTTTTCATACTTGTCTGCTAATGAATTCCTTTTAATTGAGTTATTAATAGAAACAAAGCGGTGTTTAAAACTTTGTTTTAATTTTGTGTTATTATATGGTGACGTTCAGAATGTTTTGAACAAATTCAAAATGTTATTTTCTTTAAAAGATATATCTGTAATCCCTAGATCTGAAGCCTTAGCTAAACAACCAGGTAACCACCAAAAATGACGTTTCAAAAATATGTTTCTTACAGTCAAGGATCCGTTGTGGTTGATGCTGAAGTGATATTCAATGACGTGACAACATTGCCAAATGCCACGTCTGTGGCTTCAGCTTTGGCAACTGCTTCTTCCAGCTCAAATTTTTCTCTCACCATCAACGTATCCTCTATTTCTGCAACAGGTAAGATATCACATAATGTACAAATATCCAATTTTGTAAATTCTTATTACAAGCACAAACTGAATATGTGATGACAAGAATAACTATTTTAAAGCTATGATAACTAATTTGACAATTGTTATTTTCAGCTGTTTTGGCACCAACTCAAACCCCAACCACAGTTGCCCCTTCAACACCACTGGTCAACTTCACCTCACCTCCACTCACAACAGCTGCTCCATCTGCTGCGCCTAATGCAACAGCCGTTCCCACTGCTGCACCAGTTCCTTTAACCACAATGGCATCAATCATTTCTACTACATCCAATGAGGGATCCCTTGGACTAAAGTTTAGTCTCAACCAAACATTTACAGCAGATCTCTCAAACTCATCCTCAACAGCATTCCAGACCTTGGCAGCAGAAGTGGTCAAAGAAGTAAGATAAAATAAAAGTATGCTTAAAATGTATTTAATTCAAAAAGCATCAGAGGATAAACAATTAGTTTGAAATTCATTGTATCATTAAGCGACTAAATATAATTGATAAAGGTCTTCCAGTGATGTATATCATATTTTGGTCCTTCTATTTTTCTTCATAATTTTTATTGTGGAACCGTAAATCAAAAATGTGCCTTCGATACCTCCTTAATTCCTTAATTTACCTACAATTTTGCAATGCAAATGATAATAATGTCTTCTTTCAGCTCAACAAAGTGTGTACAACTCTGTATGGATCATCTTTCGTTCGCTCCGTTGTTAACTCATTCACGTAAGAATTCATTTTATTAAGTTACTTATTTTTTCTGGACATTTGCAAGTCACTTGCTTTTAAAAAAGGTTTTGCTCTCTCTGTGTTTTCATTGTAGGAGTGGCTCGGTGGTTGCAGACACAACCATTACATTTAAAGATACAAGCTCAGTTCCTTCATCAAGCACAGCTAATTCACAGCTCAGCAGTGCATTAACAAGCAACTCTACCTCCCTGAGCGTTATATCAGGCAGTGTTTCTATAAGTACGTAATTGGAAATTATCAAACTTTATTAATCTGGTCATAAATCCATTGAAATTATATGCATTTTGAAGTGTCAGATTAATTGATAACCCATTTTTATTGGTACAGCTTCTTCTACTGCTTCCACCGCCGCACCTACTGCTACAGCAGCTCCTACTGCAGCTCCAACTGCAGCACCAACTGCAGCTCCTACTGAAGCTCCAACTGCAGCACCAACTGCAGCTCCTACTGAAGCCCCAACTGCAGCACCAACTGCAGCTCCTACTGAAGCTCCCACTGCAGCACCAACTGCAGCTCCTACTGAAGCTCCAACTGCAGCACCAACTGCAGCTCCTACTAAAGCTCCAACTGCAGCACCAACTGCAGCTCCTACTGAAGCTCCAACTGCAGCTCCTACTGAAGCCCCAACTGCAGCACCAACTGCAGCTCCTACTGAAGCTCCAACTGCAGCTCCTACTGAAGCCCCAACTGCAGCACCAACTGCAGCTCCTACTGAAGCTCCAACTGCAGCACCAACTGCAGCTCCTACTAAAGCTCCCACTGCAGCTCCTACTACTGCCACCACAACAGCTTCTACTGATCCTCCTACATCCAGTGAGGGAACTCTTGGCCTTCAGTTGAGTCTCAACCAAACATTTACATCAGATCTCTCAGACTCATCATCAACTGCGTACAAGACTTTGGCTGCAACAGTGATCAGTGAGGTAAGATACCTTAGCACTTTGATAGTGTACTGCAAAAAAAGTTAGATTTTCTTTCAACAATAAACATAAGAATACTGGAAAACACTTAAAATGTTTTCTATTGTAAAAATTATCAAATAATCCCTACTATTTTAAATTAATCTGTTAACATTAATGGATATAGACCACATTAATGAAATATCCCAGTCATAAGAAGGCAAACAGAAATGTTCAAAACTGTCAATTAAGTTTAGTCTGTAGTAAAACCCTTCAGGATCTTTTTAAACAGATAGCTAATGCTGTATTTTAATGTACACCAGCCATGTTTAAGGAATATATGCAATTTTATAATCCTTACAGTAATCACTGTATTATATTGAAAGGTGTTTTTTTCAGTTTTCTCCGAGTTTGCCACTTCCCCTTAACGCAGATCATAGTGTGTACTAAGTGTGGTAAGCTGCTTATAGATGCTTGTGACCATAGTTTTTATTTTGTATTGCAATTGACAGTAATGTTTTCTTTCAGGTAAACAAAGTGGCTCAAAAACTCTATGGATCATCTTTCCTTCGCAGCATTATTAACAAATTCACGTAAGACTTACTTTCAATCACTGACTTTTTTGTTAGACATTTGCCCTTTCTACTCCCTGTCACTAAGTGTCGCTTTCTCTCTTTGTCATTCTAGGCAAGGATCAGTGAAAGTTGACATGACCCTTGTGTACACAAATACAACCTCAACTCCTACAGCAAGCGATGCAACTTCACAATTCAGCACTGCGCTTAGCTCTTCATCTCTGAATATTGTACAAGGCAGCGTTTCTGCACGTAAGTGGTTGTAAACTATAACGTCAAACTATGAATTTAAGGTGTAATTATTTAGTTCTATTAAATAATAAAACACATGTTACAATGTCATATTTGGGATTCTCTGGTGTATATTAAAGATATAACAGGGCTCAAGATTTGGATGTAGCTTAGCCTTTATTTCCTGCCTCAGAATTCAGTTTTAGTCCAGATAATAACACTGACCACAAACTTTGCTTTTTCTAATATTTCAGAATCAACATCCACGTCAAGCAGTCCCCCTCGGCCCACAATGGGCTCATTGGTCGTGTTTTCACTAACCCTGCTGGCTGTGGCCCTGACGATGACAAACTAATACCCAACATCAAAGGCAGATACACTTGGCTAAGAGCTATCAAGTGGGAAAAAAGCAATGAAACCAAACTGAAAGCAAGACATAACATGTGTGCAAAATGATATTTACCAATACAATGTTAAATGGTAAAAGGATGTGTACTGTGTGTGCAAACGATTTTGTTCAGTATTTTATACATTTGATGTTACAATCAATTGTGATCAATTCAATTTCTTTTTTCTTTTCTTTAAAAATAACTTGTCATTGAGATAAGTAATCAAAAATACCATATTTTATACTATTTTGGCTTTTTATAACAGCTTCCATTCAATGTATTTGTTTTGTAAATGCTTATTTTTATACTATTAGTCACATGTCATTTTAACCCAAATGTTAAACTGTATAGAAGATAATGTAATAAATATGTATTTATAATTAAAAGCATAGAAAGATCAAGCAGGACACAAATTAGATTAAATGCCAATGTTAAATGTGAGTGATGGAAGAAGTGTGCAGGTGATGTAGCGTGGTGCCAAAAGCTTGTGTTTTTGTAAAATGATCTTGATGTGGAAAAATAATGATTCATATGACGTCTGAGGCAAACTACCAGTGTAGGACATGTTAAACCATGCTAGTCTGTCCCTTACCCAAACCATGTCGTTTGTGGAAACATTTTAGTTTCCACAGAATGTCATTACAATACAAATAATTGTCATTGAATTGATTAACACCATTTTTCCTGTATGACTTTGAGAAGGGGAATAATACATATGTGTATCTTTGTTAATCAATAAAGTATTTAAATGTTAACTTGGGAGTTACCTTACATTTTTTTTTTTTTTTTTTAAACATCACAAACCTATGAGGCAGGAACAAGTCTAGTGTCCGTCCTAATTTTCTTGTATGTCCTAGTGCTTTTGTGGCTGATTGTGTGACGTGGGGTTTTATTAATCAGATTAAAAGACTCCATGTTGGGTGCAGTGCACACATTATTTTAATAGTGCTTTGCTAAGTTCAAAGAAATGTACATGCAGTAGGAATGGCACACCAGAAGAGGGCTGCATTTCACCAAGAATCATTAACATCTGTTCGTCAAGGTCACAAAGCCCTCACATCACCTCTGGTCATGATGAACATGACTTCACGTCATTTTAAATTTAAATAATTAGCCAGAGCAAACCATTTCAATGAAAAAGAACAGTAACAAGTGAAGTCCAATAAGAAAAAAAGAACATTCCCATTTATGTCATGCTCTTGAATGAAGAATTGTATGCATTTGCATTTGCATATTGGTGTTTTTTAAAATAACCTGTACATGTATTACACGTCTATGTCATGGCAGATGTATTGCTCAGGACTCAAAAAGCTACGCAATGGGCCCATTCCTAAAAGGCATAGCATGGTCATAGGTGACATTAAAATAACAACTTTACTTAACTCAACACTTTACAGATGTGTTCGTTAAAATGTGTCCCGGTGTATGATGATAATTAAAAACGTTTGATTGCTATTGCATATCTATTAAACCAAATTTGAAAATGAATATACACATCAAGAAGACACTGTTGCATTTTCAAGTCCACAAATAATAGATTACAAATTTAAATCATGATGGTAGTAGAGGTTGTACCATGAATCAATATTACACTTTAATGAAATGTGTAATCATACTAGAGAGGTCACTTTATTTTCCTCCTAATAAATGCATCAAAGCACAGAAATCAACCCCTCTTTCAGAAACAAAAGAACAGCTGTGCAGCCAGTCTACTTTGTCTGTTAGACCCACTTGCATTACACATATGAATGACTGGTCTGAAAAAACACGTACTATCCTGCCAATGGGCCTTTTATTGCACCCTTCATTAAAATCCCCCAATGTTTAATTAAAACATATCCGCCACACTTGAGATACGTCTGTCACTGGCTGAGGCCCAAGGTATTCAAGCTTGGTAGGATTGGCTGTGCTCTACTGCACACTGAAACACATGAAAGGAATGACGAGAGCTGTTTAAGGGTTAATAGGAAAGTGAAAATGCAGTCATTCAAAACTCATTTATGGGAAGACAATGAGTATCCATGCTTTTTCAATCATATGTATTTACAATTCATTTTTGTTTCCCTTTTTCTTTATTTGTTTTCCTTCTCCGATTAATTAAAAATGTTATTTTGGCAAGTATTAGGCGAAAACAAACAATAATCACATTTTTTGAATGTAATCTAGATTTTGGAATTTCTACCATATGCTAACTAAGTCAATGTGTGTAGCTGTTCAGCTGCTGGTACATGACACCATTTGGTTTTCCCAAACCTATAGTCCTTAACATGCTTTCAAAATCAATAAGTAATGCACAAATGTGTTTTTGTTTTCAGTAATTCACATAGCAATGACAGCAATCACAATTTTCCCGTACGCAGTGCCCACCCTTTGTGAATTCCTCTGTGTATGTATTCAGTTTATCCGGTTGTAATGGAGTTCTGGAAAAGCAGAGAAGGGGTTTCTGGCTAAACTTCATATATGTCCAGGGTGCAAAGAAAAGGGAGAATTACGCTTTAAATCATAGTGTAATGGAGCTCTGTGCAAGGGTCATTGTTTATAAATAGCAGAGGTTGTTTCTGTGTATGTGTGAGTGTGCCTGTTAAAGTTTATATGAATTACTCCTAAAAGGGACATACATGCCTGAATCAAATATCATTCCATTCCATTCTACAGTTGTAGGCAATTTTCGCTAAAAAACAAAATGTGTAGTTTGCTGGTGGCACTACAAGAGATCACTCCCTCTGGGGACCATGCATGTACAGTATGCCAACAAATATGTATCTTCAGTCTGGGCCAAAATGGTGGACTTAATGACGATGCCTTCTAGAATTCTAGAACTAGAACTACAAGTGATTCCACAAATAAGAAAAACATCTAGGGTTTGCACTGCTTACCCTGGAGAAAATAAATGGTATGTTTTAGAATAGTACATTGTGAACTCAGACTGAGTTCCAATAATAATAATAATAATAAAAATAATAATAATAATAATAATAATAATAATAATAATAATAATAATAATAATAATAATAATAATAATAATAATAATAATAATAATAATAATAATAATGATAATCTTTATTTGTGTAGCACCTTTCATACAACAAGTGCAGTCCATAGTACTTCACATAGACATTTCACAGAAAATCACACAGAACACAGATACCAGTAAAATGCATAAAAACAAACTAAAAATGGCATAGACATATATAAAATTGAATTATTGATCAATAGTCTTTAGGGTTCTGTTCTTACATTGTTTGCTATTTAATAAAATATCCTATCTTTTTTAGACAGGATTTTCACGCACTGCTGTACAAATCTGCACATTTCAAAGTTATACGGTTAATGGTCCGTCCTTACTCAACATGTCACAATATTTGTCAGTATAGTTTGAATTGGCAGGGGAGATGGCAGGAGACTGTTGTTTTGTTACTGTGACTATTGTTGCATGCGCCCACTTCCCAGCCCTCCCATCCCCCTGGTCTCTTTGTAAAAGGTGCAGTACGATTCAGACATGAAGACAGACAATCATCTCTCCTTTTTACAGGTGAGTGTCATTGTTTAAAATGTTCTAGTAATGCCGGTTTTTGTTATTAAACCAAGATCCAAGACCTTGTTTGAAATGCTTACATCTATAAATAAGCTAATCTGTAGTCACTGTGCTGCTCTTCATAGAATCATATGGAAAGATGAAGAATCCTGTTTATGTGTGATATATAATATGTGGCTTTTCCAGGGTTATGATTAAATTAGACGTATTTTGTAACTTCTTTCTTTGAATATCTTATAATTGATCCTAATCTGTATAACAACATCATTCTAATATTATTTATTCACAAATAAAACTGAGATGTAGTCATCAAGAATGCATTTTAATCATAACCAAACTGTTAAATGGCTGTTAACTCTGTACAACATGTATCAGGGTATTTATAATATCACCTAGCATATGGGCAACATCATCACACTGAATGTAATGTTTTTTATAAGCTTGATTGCAAAATGTAAATGTAAATGTCTACTCTCAATGTAAATTGATATTAATTTTTTGGATGATAGCAGAGGCATAACACAAAAAGAAAACAGACTTATAAAACTATGATTCTTGCAGACGTGATGTTTCTCAATTAGGTAAAATTATAAGAAGGACAAAGGGAAAATGGCGTGTCGGGGCTGGGGGCTGTGAAAATGACTGTCGAAGTGCCCTTCGCCTCACTGAGGGGGGATTTGCAGAGTATTTGGCACTTTTTACCCACCAACAGCCTTTATGACAAGAAGATATAGAGTAAAGTTGTACTAAAAGTAAGATTTACAAACCTGAACCTAGATATGGGTATCATTTCATATTTATTTGTTTACTAATTTGTATACATAGTACACGCCAAACTAAAATCAAAATGTTCATTCAGCATCATTTTCCTATCACAGTCCCTGTGGTGTTCATTAAAATCTATTACTTTGGCGTGAACATCTGCTCCCTGCTCACTTTGCTTGCACTGAGAATTACACGCAATTCTCTCAAAACTCACAAAAACTCACCTCTTCAATCTGGCTTTTAATGTGTGATTGTTTTTGTATTATTTGACTTTAACTTTAACTATATATATTTATTTGTTGTTCTTTTCTTTTCACTATATCTGTAAAGCGTCTTTGAGCACCAGTAAAAGCGCTAACAAAATAAATCTATTATTATTATTATTATTATTATTAATTCTGCTCATTACAGTCATATGTCTTCTGCTGTGTGATAATCTGTAATGAGCAATGCATGAATCCAGATGAGTAAAACTTAATTGCCAGAGGAGTTAAACTTATTTGCTGGTATGAGCTGAAATGTACGGAGCCCCTAAAGGTTCATGGAGAAAAAAAAAAGTATCTTGTGCGCACGATACAGTATACTTTCTCGTTCGCACAAAATACTATTTCGTGCGCACGAGATAGTATTTTGTGCGAACGAGAAAGTATTTCGTTAGTTTCTCGTTCGCAAGAGTTTTTTCATAAGAAAGTATCTCGTGCCAACGAGAAAGTATATCGTGCGCACGAGAAAGTATCTCGTGCGCACGAAAAAGTATCTCGTGCATAAAGCGTGGCCTCGTTTTATTTAAATTGAGGCCACGAATTACATCTCGTGCGCACAAATTAATAAAACGTGGCCTCGTTTTATTTATTTTTCTCTCTATGAACCCTCCAGGGCTCTGTAGAAATGAAACTTGTATAAATATAACACATGCAGGTTTCATAGTCCTCTTTGAGAAAGTGTGAATGTAGTTCCAATTCAACAGACCTGATAGCTAATGTGGATAATTCCATGCACGTTAAGCTAATCAATAACTTCCCTCTGTCAGAGCATTTCTTGGTTATGTAGACACAGGCAAAAAGGGAAATACATATCGTTCTCCTCATTATATCAACATCTGGGATGAAAATAACATCTGTCTTTTCTTTCTAAACAAAGCATAGAGATGGCATTTTAGATAAGGCAACTCCAGTAAAACAAGGTCTTTTTAAGCCCACAGACTTTAGTGATTCCTTCATCGAACTAAAATGTACTTAGAGATTAACTAATGAGAAGTAACCATGGAGCAGCAATTGGGTCATAATAAACACAATTCTGGGTGGTTCGTCAAATCTTTCGCTGTTAATGTACCATACAACAGTGTAGGCAAACTGTGATGAAATGCCTCACTTAATCTGTAAAATTAGACTGAAACAGTAATTTCTCACAACTGTATCTATGTGTTTTGACAGGCTTGATTAGACCATGGATAAC